CTAGTCAGACGTTGATGTATTTCTACTCTCTTTGCAATTACCAAATCCTCAAAATCAACTGGAAGTCATGATCCCATGGCTCTACAAGTTTCGTTTACTCGCCCTTAATCCGCTGACCCCCTCCTTTCTACTTTTCAACAATTCTTTGATCGATATAACCATTTGAAAAGGCTCTCCTTAACTCATCCACCTTGACACGTTCTCTTCATGACTAATCCACGCAGGTGGAAACTGGACCTAATGTCATCCCAGTTCGAGGCAGTCATACTAAAAGCTGGTGAACGCCTACTCTATATATCCAGGGCAAGGATTCCAGAATAATGTTATGATTGTGCTGTTACTGCAAAAAAATGCACCTCTTTACCGACCAAAAAAAGTGGGCGGTGCTTGAATCAGAAGCGAGTTATTCGGTTTCCGTACAGCCTATCATGGACAGAACGAAGTCGAATAACACTTGCTTTATTACCATCCAAAATGTTACACACAAACAAAGCCATAAATACTCGACAATGATACTGCACTGGTAATACTGAGTAGTACTGAGGACGAATTGGTACTTCCTATCGGGATTTTTCATCAAAAATCCTATTCCTACAATCGTTATATTCTTCAAGATACATGTAGTTATACTGGTAAAACAGGTACAGGTAATCAAAATTGTTTTTCAAACATAATGGAGCCTTCCTTCTTCACCGTCCATTGAATAAAAGATCGGTATACGGTAGGAGAACGTGCCGTTGACTTGTCGGCATGTCCCCGAAACCAAATGTACTGTAGAAAGATGGAGGGAACGCGGAATAGCGGCGTTTTTGGATCTGAAATGGGTCAGAGGGTTTCGAGTTAGAAAGTAATTTCCTTACAGATAATTTCATTACTGAAAAGAGCCAACTTAATAAGCAATGGCTTCAACTAAATAAGAAGCACAGCAAAATCGAATTATGAATTTCCTAGTTCGTTTTAACTTTACTTTTTTCTTTATTCTCTAGGGACATGCTGCAAGGAAGAGCACTAGGCTGCTGAAGCAGCATGGGCAGTGAAGTTCACCTCTACATGCCTCTGTACTCTGTACATGCCCTCAAATAGGACAACACGAGCTTTCACTCAGTTCAATTAGCCAAACAAAGACTCGTGAAAAGGGGTCAGGACTGGGCGAGGAAGTCACCCACATACATAGAGGTTCAAGATACGTTGTACTGAAGCTTGATTGAGGATGTTCAGGGGAAACTGCAGAGGCTTGGTGTCCCATCAGTCATTCATATCAAAACATCAAATAGAGCTTCTTCACCTCAAAACAACTAGGTTTCCATTCGTTTCAAAGCTAAAATTAGCCTTCCCGTTTAGACATCATGGAAATGGACCATAAAGTTGAATTTTAAAGTTTTTGGCTTTAATCAATCCCGTCTGAGGGGTGCGCCCCGCACTCGACTTCCATTC